GATCCATGCACAAATCGACGATTGGGTGCGTTCAGTAAAAGCTGCCCGATGGCGTTGAACCGAAACACGAGACTGGCGGCGGAGAAGATCTCTGTCGTCCGAGAAGATTTCTGTCTTGGAATCCTCTGCAGGTTATCGAGCCTGTGAAATCTGCGGACTACTTCTTCTGTTTATTGCTCTGACCTGAGCAAAGCTCTTCTATCCCGTGGACTTGGAGTTACAGTTGAATTTTCACTCTGTACATTCGTTTCATGGAGAGTGTGAAAACACTCTCCTGCATCCACCGAAACATCAAACACTTGTCCGTGCGGTCCGTACTTATCTTATGAAAATGATTCTCGTAGAGCGAGTCGCGCAGCTACGATGTTTCTGTGGAAGAACTCACTCCCGTGCATTTCTGGGAGTAAATTCATGATAGCGTAGAAAAAAAGGGCTTAGCAGGTAGAAGGTCAAATCGATGTGCATTCTTGTCTGAAGAAGACGACGAGGTTGGATAATCTGGCGCCGTGACCCCATTCGCTCGAAAGTGGTACTCTTGAGCACGGAGGGAATCGAAACTGGAACACTGACTCAGAGAGAGAGAGGTGTCGATGCACGACTGGCCAGGCCTGTCATGTCTTCTTTCTCTTCAACTCTTTCGAACAGAAATGGAAGAAATGGAAGAAAGCTTCAGAAGAAGCTCGACCCATGGGTTAGTATTTTTGCCTCCGAATGTCCAGATTCATCGCAGCCCAGCGGTGCTAGTAGAAGCCAGTCACGCCGACAAGATGAGAGTTTTTGACTCACGACTAGTGGAGCTACTCACGGATGTCAGTAATAAGGCTCGTGGTGATTTAAGCGCGTGAAGCTTCAGGGAAAGAAAGCATGTCTGTGAAAGTGTGGCAAAACTTCCTTCCCTGAAGCAGTCTCTTCGGGAAGAAGTGAAACGACTCAAAGATCCTGTCGACGAGATTCACAAACCTCTGGGAGGCCCACAACGAATCGAGCTGGTATTTGTGTATGGTAGTCTAGAGGATGAATCATTCGAATTGCCCGATCTTCATCACCACGTGGAGCACGAGACAAGATCCTCTTGAGTGCTGGCTGAATTCTCGGTTGGTACGCCAGGCCAACACCACTCGATCAGAAAATCGCTCGAGTTCTTACACTCTCCTATTATTCCAGTGTTATTCACTTTTACTGTACGGTAACGACGGACAATTTCTCAACTGCAGGGCCTCTGTTTGGGAGGGCTGGTGATGAAGGAGGTGCGTGATCATGCCTCGAGGAGGCCTGAAAATCAACATCTTCAGAAGTACACTTCAGAAAACTTTTTGAAGAGCGTGAAGGGTCTGTTATTCCCAACTCGGTTTCCTATCATGGGTCATGAATGGAGAGTATCCCAATTCAGAGTAGTAAGGGACCGAATGGATATCAGAAACCCATGGGAAGATACTATCAAGACGCAGAATTAAGAAAACAAACAGGCAAATTGGGGGCTTGCCCCGATAGTATACTGATGAGAAATATGTCTTATAGCAACTAAGATTTCCAAACTCAGCAAGCAAGCTCAAAGGGAGACCTAATGCACTCATAGCAGGTTATTGATGCGAGGACTTCTCTGGATTTGAGTCTTATTCCTCCCAGAGCATGCTGTGTCGGCGAGAGCAACGAAACCAAAATTTTCCGTCGAAGGTGTGGGACAATTCCCACACCTTCGATGAAGATGGAACTTTTCCCATCTTTTCCCATGGATACAGGTCGGTTTTGACCTGAAGTTTGTTGAGTGACTTTATTCTCCCCTCGCTTTGTATCGCATCGAGCAACTACGTTACTGCTGAAGTACAGCATTAGTCTGTACTGGCTGTCGTTGATTGCAGTGTTTTTTTACTGATCTTGTCATGGAGAAGGCGTACATCTCAATCTGCTTTTTGTAAAACCACCACTCTGCAACCGGATGTCGTGTCAAACTCGCCTAAACCTAATTGAGGGGAGAACAACGAACTCTTTCTACTTGATGGCCATACGTTGTTCGTTTTGTACAGGTTATGGCGTATTATGACATGGCCTCTGTGGTGAGCGAAGCATCGGCAAGAGCAGGATCGGAGAAAGCGCTCTGCGTGTTAGCTGGCACATGTGACTATACAATTCGCATACCACAGAGTGAATCTTCCGACAGTTGTCTTCTCCTCTGTAGTGCCTCGTGTTTTCTCTTGTAATCTGCCCCACATCAAAACGAGAACACCATTGATGCATTTAGAGTTTCAAAACACGTGACGGCTGATCTTGTCTACTTTGCTTTCTTTTCCAACCAATTTCTAAACTTATTTTGCGCTTTAATTGTAGCAGGTCCAATAAGAACTTCCTTGTTTCGTGTTCCATTTCGTGTTTCGACCTCCAATAAGACCTTTTCTCACCTTAAGCAGTTCTGACAAGTCAGATACTGTACTTGCAACCTTTCTGCGGCTCGACTTGATATCGATATCGCTATGTAGGCGTTATATCAGGATATTGTACATGCAATGTGGGACGGATCACCACGCATTCAGAGACAATCCCGGCCAGCAAAGGTGAATCCGGATCTCATATGTACTCCATGATGACATACTGCAATCGTGGTTTGTGATCAAGTGACGGACCTTCATTTCCATATCATTCTCCTTCTTCACGTTACAAATTTAGCACGTACATCTTTCTCCATGGCACCTGAGAGAATAAGCGTTGCTATCTAGATTATCCACGTATACTCTTCATAATAAGATAGACATGATTTTAGATTTACTTTTCGTTGGATGTCATCCATGACAGAGTGTATGTCTGCTGACACATCTTTCTGCATTTTTCAAAAAGTTGCTCGGAGCCATACAGCTACTTCCTGACGAGTGTCCGCAGAGAAGAAAGGAGGATTAGGCGAGCAGCGCGTCTGGACCAAAAGTTCATGAGTCGAAAAAATGATGACGAGGAGAGAAACTAGGTCGTTATCTGCTAGAAGCAGGGGATTGGCTGTACATATACGCGATGTGCATTTGAAGTGTTCATGCAGCAGGACGTAGTACATTGGAGAAATAGTACAGCAGTAGATCTGATCTGGGGCCAGAGACCGTGAGATGGAGAATATTGCAAGTTTAGAACAGTGGTGAGAAAGTATGAAGTGTTAGGTGAAAATAATATTTTCGATGTCTGGGTCCGGACTCCATCAAAGGTTAGTGACTCAAGAGTTTGAAGAGTTGAAGAGCTGAAGACTCAACGATTACAGAGACCACGCTGGATAAGATTTCTTCACTTTACATGCTGATTGAAATGAGCTCAAATCCTAGTGGGGTTTCCAATACTTGTACGCAAGTGTTGATTGGATGTTAATTTGATCAAAAACTGTCTTTCCTCTCTATGACAGGATTTTCATTTGTAACACCTTTCTTGTCAAAATGTCATAAGTTTATTATATTAGGTGTAACATGGATGCGCAGTCTGTACTGTTACTGTCCCAGGAAGCTTACCAAGGTTGCATAGTGACTGTTACATAGTCAAGTGAAACTCTCCAAATGAATTCTTTATATGATGGATTTGCAATTAACCAACTATGTACAAAAGATTCATAGAACTTGAGTGGAAGAAAGGTGAGAAAAAAGAGAGACAAGAGATAGGAAGAAATACGTTGCATGCTACAACTGACTATGTGACTAACTCAATCCGTTGACTGGCTGACTTTTGGTGAGATCTCTTGTAAAGAGTACATTGAGATAACGAAATATCACCCTGTGTTATCATAAAATCGATAGAGCACGATTAAGTCTTAATCTCTCATAAAGAAGGAGGTTGGAAGAGTCATTTGCTCATGAGGTACTTCATGAGAGCTGCCTTACTAATATAGAATGAAAGGTATCTGTTGAGTTTATTTGCAAGGACGATTTCCCTCATCGAAATTAAATTTGCTTTCAAGCCGTTTTATTGATAGTATTGATCGTTGCTATCGATGAGGTGATGATTATGAGGTTCATGTTGTGTGTAAACACTTCATCATAGAATGTTGGATAATGGTAGGTGAGTTTTTATAAATTTCAATTGTGAACTTAATAGAGCTTAGCTCATGTTCCTTAATGGGTTTGATATTTATACCAACTTGATGTAATCTTTCCGACCTTTTTTACGTTGAGAATATGTAGTGCACTAAAGTCAAAGAATATGATTTGTAAAAGATTGTAATAGATATGTCAAAATTGGATCATAATTATTTCTTGTGAATAAAATACAGGAAAATTAAATAGACGATTAACTCTGTCATCTTTGTGCGAGTGAATATCCAAATGGATGTACCTGTATGAGATTGAGGAATGTTTTGCTAATTAAAATCACTCTGACAATGATCGAGTTTTCGTGCAAATTGATTACGGATGTGTTATAATGAATTTTTCGTTACTGGCTTTAGTTGAATTTTCATCAATGTAGAATAGATGGGTCTATTTTGATTGTCATTTCATGCACATAATTAGCTAGAAACAATTTTTTACATATTAGTGAGATCTGATTATTTTCACTTTCAAAAGCAATAGATATTTCATAGGTTTTATAGATCTAGAGTAGAGTGTAAGGTGGTAGGAATTTACAAATACAACTGATATAAAGATACACTGAAGAAACGGATGCAACTATCAAATATGACACAGTCCAGCTGTTTTGCGAATTTTCACATCGAAGTTGCTGCGAGATTGTCTCATTATCAGATTCTCCAACAGCTATCGTATGATTACATATTCTATACAATCATGATTACATGATTGCATAGAATATGTAAAGCTTTTGATAAGCTTTAGAGGAATAAAGCGGTATTGGTCACTTTAGCCAAATGTCTAAAGTGACCAATACCGCTTTGTATTTTCGGAGTACGTTCTTATATTAGAAACCTAAACCACCTCATGAGCTCAAAATATTCCAGTTCTCTTTAAGAAGCAAGACGTTCAAAATATCTCCCCAACCATCGTCGACACAATAATCACCATTACTGATAAAATATAACTTTTCCGAGATTCAAAAGTAACTTGCAATTACGTCCATGAAAATACTCTTATTTATAAGAGAATCATAAGTACACCTCAGCTCCCAACTCAATTTCTGTAAATTACTTCCGAAAGCAGTATAGCACTAGGAGAAGTTCCTATATACAACTGAATTTACATTGGCCCCAGATTCACCAGCATTATGTACCCGGGCCATTATCTCATAGATGTTGTGTTGCAGTTCCCTTGGGTGCGCGAGGAGAAATAGCCTGATCCGTGGAGGGCTTTTGCTGACCGATGTGGAGTTTTTCCATAATCTTCGACATCACTCCCTCTTTCTTCGGGCTTTTGCCTTCTTCCTTGGGACCCTCGATCGGTCTGCCTTGATGATCGGTGTAAACTGCCCCGGGCATGTTGTGGTAATCAGGTTTCGATGGCGATGGCCATGTTTGCTGAGTCTGGCCATCTTGCTGAGAACCACCGCGAAATCTCTGTTTCACATTTCCGAAGCAATCTCCTTCTGAAACCGCTGTTGGTCCTTGAGTGTATGATTCAGTACCGCGTGTAGGATCGTGTGGTTCTGCAGTTCCATAGTTCAAGTCTTATGAGTATCCTCAAAAATAGCTAATCGAAAGTCATCTTTTGAATCAACAACAAGCAAGCTCACAAACGTTTGCAAACATTCACGACCTAATCCCACCACAAATCTGTTCTGTTGTGTGTACACACAACAGATAAGCCACAACCATGTTTTTATTGTAACCTGAATGACAAATTTGCGAATGAGACCTTTCGTTGCTGAGTATCCAGTCACTCGATGTTCTCTCAATCCTGTACTCTCAGTCAGTGGAATGGCTAAGCATCATGAGAGAACATCGGGGGCTGACCTGCTGTTTGGTGGAGCTGAGAGTGCTGCTGTCCTGGAGCGTTTCCCCGTTCACCTGCTGTCTTCTCTGCCGAATTGGAAGAGATCGTCAGCATTGGAGTTGCCAGATAAATGAACATTGCAGGGATCCTGAAAATGAGATTGCTTCAGATGCAAAAGTTGCGAGCTAGCAGAGAGTTGGCCATTGTACCTGAGATTTGATCGTCAGTAGCGTGCCCCGTTCCTGCACCATGTCCAGGTTTCTGACCGGTCACCATATCCTTGAGCTTGTCGATGAACCCGGACTTCTTTGGGCTCTGAACCTGATCTTCTCCGATGCCTCTGCGGAGATTCTCGCTCGAAGGCTGAACATCAGTTTCCGGCTCTCCGACCACATGCTGTCGATGCGGATCTCGCAACGGAGAAGGGTGGTGCCGGCGCTCATGATCGTCTGCCGAAACTCCCATGGCCCCCTCATCGTGATATTTGGCCGGAGTGTAAGGGTTTTCGTGGTGGCCGGGCAGCTTGTCCATCAACTTCTCCGCGGTGGGCTGGTGGTGAGGAGCATTGGGTTCCATCAAATGATCCACATGATGGCCCGGCATCACCGTGTCCGCAGCCTGTTCTCCGACTCCTTGCGGTTCGAAATCAGGATGATGCCCGACGGCAAGAGGCGGTCCCGAATGGAGAGGAGGGGGAGAATGGGGCGATCGAGGAGAATGCTGGACGCCATCGCCACTCCCGGAGTTCCCATACACATCCCTCGGGTGCCCAGTATTCATCTGCGGATCGTTCTTGTACGAGCTGCCTGGAAAATGCGAAGGGTGATCTCCGGCGCTTCTGCCCTTCATCTTCTCCTTCACACTCATCAGCGAGTTCTTCACCTTGGTCCCGACTCCGGGCCTCTCGTGCTGCTCGGCCAGCACTCCGTCCGCGTTGCCTCCATGGCCGGGCTCCCCTTCGGCGAATGTGGGGCTCGGATGCGGCTCCTGAGCCATGAGCTCTGTCGTCTGTCTGTCGGAAGCTCGACTGCACCGCAAGCGTACGAGAACGGGGAAGAAGACGAGGCTTGGGCCGAAAATGCAAGCGAGGGATACAGACGAACGAACGATGCACGCTATCGGAATTTACACGTTGTGGTCCGATCGACGCGCCGGTATTTCAACAGTTGTGAATCCGGTTTCGGGCAAAGTGGATTGTGGGGGTGAGCGGGTCGGAGGTCCCTCACCGGCAGGGCTTACGAGGCGACAGGGCAGCGACGTACACGTCGACCTGCCAAGGTTGCCGAGGCGAACGCGGCGGCTGATTTGGAAGGTCAAGCCACTGTACAGGTGCACTGAGTGCGAGCGTGCCAAGCAGGACCCGTCGCCGTCTCGCTCGACTCTCCGGAATCCAGATCTCGTCCAAGTCAGCAGCATCGGAAGAAGAAGAGCATGGGCGGGCGCGCTTTCCGTCGACGTGTCGCGGGGCATGAGTGCCACGACGATGGTGCCCGCCAATAACGTGTCGCCCGATGGGCTCCTGCTGACGCTCACGAAGCTGCAGCACCGAGTACGGTTCAGCGTTCGCTGATGTCCTAACAAACGGTCCCGTTGTTGTTGTTGTCAGCGTCGCCGTCGTCGCCCAAGTCCGTGACTCCGAACTCCGAACTCCGTCGCGTCGCGACAACGGAGTCCGTACTATCTATCCACTGCGCATTCAATCTCACCACGGCGCAGTTCCGACCGCCGGTCTCCGACGACGCTTTCGCGGTTGTCGTTAACTGGACACGGTTGTCTTCACAGCAGTCGCTTTTAGATGGCCGAAGATTTGCAAGTAAAGTAAAGCAGTCGGTTGTCATTCTCTTTCATGGCTGCGAGATTGCGGATTCGCTTTCTGTGGTGCTTCGACAGCAGATCGCACCGAATGGGTCCACTAGGCGGCCTGCGGTTCGTCTCGGGGAAAAGAACACCTCCATTATTTGAACCCAAAGGGGCATCCCGAATTTGAGAATGGGCTCGATGTGCTTGTGTCGATGTTCTAATTCTTTGAATGTTAATGCTTGTGGACGCGAACTCCTGTGGGTTCGTTAGACTGCAGCGTTCCAGCAGTCGTCGTCTTGATTCGACTGATGTGAGCATCTGAAGCTCTTATCGTTCATCTGAGGCAAACAGCAGGATTCGAGGTCAGCATATCTGCTCAAGTAAAGTGGCTTTTCGCATCTGGTGAGCAGACAAGGACGATGTTGTCAGAAAGAGACTGTCCCAAACTCATGCCCCCTAGGACAAGGTGCATTTTGTGGGTCCCTTATGAAGGGCTATTCGCCATAATTTAAAGTGGACACCGGATTTTTCGGTTGCGATCAAGGGCATTTCAGACAGCGGATTTTCCAGGTCAGATGTTCGTACTACAAAAAGGGTACGAACATATATGCATTCAGGTATCCATTCTCCATTCAGACGACATGTTTTACTTGCCGGAAGTTAAGAAGCGAGCAAAAGTTAGCATTAAATTGTTCAAAGCTACACAAATTGGAACGAAGTGGTTATATTAACGAGAGAAGAACTGGTTATATTACTCAACTGCTCGAATTTTGCCAAACAGTGTATATTATCTGGAATATGACCGGTTTCTACTTCTATCTTCATGCACAAGAAGCTGTGTATATAATACTCATTTCACGTAGTTGTAATCATATGAATGAGTTGTGGGTAGGTATTCATGCTATGCACTGGTTCTATCAGTAGTATTACGATAAGTGGTTGCAATACTATCGTTCATAAATATTATCGTAAGATATACGTTACATATAATTGAAGCATATAGTCAAGATGAGTAAGGTATATTTCAAAATGATCATTTCACAAAAACATATGTTTGTGGTATAATTAAGTTTTCAAGTGATATACGAGGTTTTATGAAAGGTATGCTGGTTTTTGTTCAAGCAATTACACATTCAAATTTATTGCTCACAAGACAATTGATGAGATATTTTGATTGCCGCTGCTTCGTATCAGCGTAATACAACTGTTCTCACAAGGAAAAAGTTACTGAAAATTTGCAGTTCCATCCGCTGAGCGTAGAGTGTAGCGTGTACCAATCATCCATCTAAATATCGAACAGTGACTTTTACCATGAAATTTACATTGAATTAAATGGAAATGTACAAAATCTCATAATCATGAGAAAACAGTGGATGACGAAGCTACTGTGATGTATAACATCCGATGATCAATCGACTTATTTTGCTCGACTGATTGTCGACTTTTATCGGTTATGGATCACATATCTTTCACTGCTCAATACCGACCAGTGTTAGCATCATACGGGGTGGCACCAGTGCCGTGGGTGTTGCCATACTCATGGCCAGGCATGACAGCGTTCTCAATCTTCTCCCCAATTCCTTGATGATGTCCGGTGGCAGCTGATGTTCCATAACCAGGAGTAGAGGGCCCATATCCACCAGTGTTGTGATGATCGGGATTCACAGCATTTTTGATTTTGTCTCCCACCGAAGGCTCGTGCCCGTATCCAGTGTGGGCTCCAGTTCCACCATGTCCATATCCCGTGGTGCCTGAGTTTCCATACCCAGCACCAGTTCCATACTCGGATCCAGTGTTGCTTCCCGGAGTGATCTTGTCTTTCACCTTCTCCATCATGCTCGGTTCGCTGCTGCTGTGATGACCAGTTTGGTGACCTCCATATCCAGCTCCATATTGGGAGTTGGTGTTGCTACCTGGAGTGAGCTTATCCTTCACCTTCTCCATCATCGTCGGCTCATTCCCATATCCGGTAGTGTGGCCGCCATAGCCAGCTCCATATTCGGCGTTCGTGTTGCTACCTGGGGTCAGCTTGTCCTTGATCTTCTCACCCATAGTTGGCTCTTGACCGTAGCCCGTGTGACCCGTCCCATGAGTCCCAGTGTTCCCGTAACCGGTACCGTGAGTGCCAGTGTTACCTCCGTAACCGGTCGAACCTCCGTAACCGGCGCCCGTGTTGTGCTGGCCCGGTGTCAGTGTGTCCTTCACCTGCTGGACGACTCCAGGCTCGCGGCCGTACTCAGATCCGTGGGTTCCGGTCGCTCCGTAACCGGCACCGGTGGTGCCCGGGTGAGTACCCATGCCGGTCTGGTGCCCTCCGTACCCGGTAGTGCCGGTGGACGACGGGTAAGCCGAGGAGTCGTGGTGCCCGGTCGTGGTCCCGTGCTGGCCAGGGAGCTTGTCCTTGATCTTGTCGACCATGCTCTCTCCCTGGGTGTTGTGACCGGCGTGTGTGCCGGTCATCGGCGTCGTCGTGGACGTGGTGCCTGACGATGCGTGGTGATCTTCTCCCGTAAGCTTGTCCTTCAACACGGCAACTTTCTCCTTCACCTTCTCGGTCATCGTTGGCTTGTGCCCTGCGGGGTACTGGTGAGAAGCCATCTCGAAATTTGTCGACTGACTCGCAACCCTTCAACTATTCTCACTTGTTGAACTTCTATGATCTCGCTAGAAGTCTCTGTGCTTCCTCTCTTGCTTGGTTCCTTGCTCGAACGAATGTGGATAGAGCTGTGAAGAACTGACGCTGTTGTAGAATGAAGGAGATATGCGGAATATAAATATATTGAGTCCGGATACTGCAGATCGGGAACATCGGCTGCTTACTTGTCCAGAGCGCAAGCTCGATGTCGACAAGTCAGCACTGGAAACGTGGCAGGCTGAGAGCAGCGAGGGCATGACAGGTGGGCCTGCTATATCCATTCTGGATAATTTGGCAGCCGACGTGTGTCGCCTCCGACACCGGCCTCGGAATAAACCGTCGTGCGGGGCTAGCATGGAGGACACGCCTCCCCGCTCAACGGCACCCGCCACGCCAGCGCGAGGGGAACATAATAGTACAGACAGCAATAATCGTGCTCGGCGATTGGGTCGGTGGTGACTGGTGACTGGTGACTCATTGCGAGATGAAGATCGTCTAATTCTTCAGCCGTGAAAGTTCAGTGCCTGTCTGGGCTTTGGAGGTCTCGGATCGACGACACCTCTCTCCTTAAATCTTCGTGACATCGCTTCGACAGTACACGTTGCCCTTTCCTGGCAGTGCCTTTGACTTCAGTGACTTGAACCGCAGGGCACGCTCGTCAAGGAGCTAGTTTGAGACCCCAGGAATCGGACCATGAAGGGATAATATATTGCACTAAAGTGTGTGAAGCCAAAAAGAAGGAATATAAGCATTGGCGTCGTGAACTTCTACATGCACCGAATCGGCTAACAAACATTGAAACTAATCTAACTTGGCTTGAAGTGACTTTGATTTGGGCTTAGCACTCAGAATGGACCAAGGATTGCACTTTGGTGACTTTCAGAACTGATACAATTTTTGTTAGGAGTTTCATATGGTAACCCTGTGTTAAAGCCACTAGGAAAATCATCATATCTTATAATTGAACATCTCCATCCATTGTGTGCAAAGACAATGCTAACATTTCCGACTCAGAGAACTGGCCGTTCTGATACGCACTGTGATGGTGAGAACAGAAGGGGGTCTGCTTCCGTTTCAAGGCGCCCTTCCACTTTTGAGCAAAGCTTCGCACAAGGATTGGAGGTACCGTAATAGAAACTATTTATAAAAATCTCTAGACCATTTACAGACGAAGCTCTCCCTCACATAACAGTACTTGCAGACATCCTTCACAACTTCAGCACATGCCTGATTTTTAATTTTTACGGATATAATTGATACTCCCTTTCATAAACTTGATTTGAAGTAGTAAAAAGTTTGATTGCATTTTTGTGATTCAAAAATTGCTACTTGTTAATTTGAATTTATAGACAATATACGTTCAACATTTTGAATGATTTCATTCAGCAACTAAAATTTTATGTGTATGATTTTGAGCATATTCTGATATATTTTCATTTTTTCACTTATGATAATGTGACTTGAGGATAACATTATAATGCAACTTTAAAATTTATCATAAACTTAAGTGTATGTGTCTTCTTCCACTGAAAGTGATATGTGTAGGAGAATTTCATACAACATTCATTGCAACTACTCAAATATGTAGATAAGTAGACTTCCTTTTTTCTGGTTGGAAATTTAAAAGAAGAGAAATATGAGAACTATGAAGATGGATATTTATACTGAATGAAATTCGTAACTATAAGAAAAAAATCATTTATAGAAAATAGATTATTTAATGAATTTTGTAAATTATAAGAAGATATTTATTTATAGAAAAGAGAATCATTTATAGATTTCGTAAATTAGTAATGTATAAATTTTATTTTTTTAAGTATATGTGTAAAGTAATTAATTTTTCATTCATATATTTTTTTTTTCTAGATTGAAATTCCTACAAGGTATGCCAAGGCTGTAGTAGTCACCTGTGGCTTTTTTTTAGTAGGACATTATTTTGGTTTTGGTTTTGTGGTGTTCGACAATACCAAGTTTTCCACACTCCAACATATAAATTTGTGTTGATAGTTTTCAAATTTTTATAAAATTTCCTAAGAAATTTTAGAATTTATGACTTTTCATCGTCCAAAAATGTAAGCAATTTCACTCATTTTAATTTTATAATTAATAAATTTTTATTATGTGAAATATTCTTCATAATTGTTTATGCTAAGCACAATTTATAACAAATGTGTTCCAACATCTATAATGTTGTAATTAACTCATTTGAAGAAATGAAGAAACATACAATGCAAGAAAAGTCATATTGATTTATGCATATCATCAACAAAATGATCTAGAAAATTCAATAGACGTATATGATGTGAGTATAAAATAAAAAGTAAGGAAATTTTTGCAACAACGCAATATTCAGTATAAATTTTGGGTAGAGTAGTGTAAAGCAGTAGGACATATTGCTTTGCTTATATGTCAACTTTTAGATTTATTTTTTTGGGGACTTTTTTGGGGACACATGCAATATTGGTTATATTCAATCTTGCAATCAAAATCTCATGGATGAAAGTGCTATCTGAATAAAGCTGATAACTATTAGTAGTGACTTCAAAAGTCTGTATAAAAATGTTTTATCATGAAAACGGTTTTTTTGTATGTTCCTTGAACAAGAAATGTGATCATTGGATTGTGATTGTTGTTTATGATTTATGATTGTCACTTGGGGTAACATTCATCGTCCAAGTATGATTCCACGGTATTTTGACATCTTTGAACTAGGCTACACGAAACATGTTAATTGTTTACTTTTTCACAATCAGCTCAGTTTTGGAAACTAAATGAGTTATTCCAGACATATTCACAGATGTACTTTTGTTATTGGGCACAGCGATACCAATATTTTGATTAATATTTGGCTGCATTACACAAACAAAATTCTGGCCCCTTGCTTTATTCTGATTTCTCTACACTATTCTCTTCTCCACTATACTACACTATCCCGATTTCTACACTATACTACACTATCCTACACTATCCCGATTTCAAAAACATTGAAGAAATTTACAGTTGCAAATTTCTCGTGAACTACTGCGAACGGCATTCAGACATGAACAACTGCAAACGACCTTCAGTTCGTCCATCACACACCATAGCGCTGGAACTACTGCAAACGACGGGCGTGCCTCTCGATCTGGGCGTCTGGCGGCGAGTGTAGCTTTAACGCCGCGAACGCCCTATTAGTTATGAAGGGCGAAGCTATATGCTTCGGTTCAAAGAACCTTCATAACTGATATTGTGTCATCGATGAATTGTTACGGTTTGATATTTTGTCATCGATAAATTGATACGGCTCGAGTATTCGAGGAGCAGGGAGTCGAGGGTGTCAGGACGGTCCGAGTATTCGAGGAACAGGGATTCGATGTAGTCGTAGTCGAGGTCCAAACTGAAGTGAGTGTCCTCGGATCCCCAATTGAGATTTGTAGATTCGTCGTCATCTCTCATCGCGTTGTCCCTTACAATGTCAGCAAAACTTGCAATTATGGTGTCCGGCACTTCTTCGAACTCCAGATGTTCCCGGTCCATCGTCTCCGCTGATCTCCTGCCGTCGGAACTTGCAATTGACATCGCGGCGAGATTTGCAATATCGTTGTCCTGTAAGCCTCCAAACTCCATATCTTCCCGGCCCGTCGTCTCAGCTGATCTCACCTCGTCAAAACTTGCAATTGACATCGCGGCGAAGACGTGACTATCAATTTCGTCGTCAGTGTAAACTCTCCTCGCGTCGAAACTTGCAGTTTCGTTGTTCTGCACGTATCCAAACTCTACATCTTCCCGTCCATCGTCTCAGCTAATCTCAATCAAGCCTGCAGCAAACATAAAATTGACCCTAGCAGTTAGCGAAGAACCCGAACGAATTGGGTCCGAAGAGCAGGCACTAAAATGACCAAGAGGCGAATGTATAATGCTGCCGTCAGTCATTATAGACGGGAGTTACTTCGGCTAGCAAGACAAGAGTAGGGCGATTTGGAAGCAAATTACCGCAGATTGGCACAATTAAGAGCGAGAGTGAGATTCTGACGGACTACATCACAGTGGAGACCACAACAAGGGTTAACACAGCGTTTCCCAGGCTTATTAAGCCTGGGAAACGCACCACTCATGCCATGAGAGCTCTCGCGCACACCGAACAAATTCTTCGTCGGCCGGGAAAAGAAAGAGCAGAGGACATGAAAAATGCGATGCCCACCGCCCGAAAACTATGCCAATCCCATTCGACTGAAGCGAGGGCAAGTGGCATGGTCCTGGCCCTAGCCCTAGTCCTCCCGATCCACGCAGAAGGTTGCCGCTGGATTCTGAGCGGCAATCTTCTGTCGTCCAGCCTCAGCCTGCCATGCACTTCGGTGGAGGCCTGGGAAACAGACACCAAACTGAACAATTGTTCTGGCCCGGAGTCTCGCGATTTTTTAGTAGGCGTGAAAAGCCTACTAAAAAATCGCGAGTCTCCTTGCGAAACAATTTGACTCAGGATAAGCATGAAGTCTCTGAGGAGAAGAAGTACCGGAGGTGGTGGTTGAAGGCCTGGCTACTATGGCTGGGATGAAACACACGAATTGGGTGGGTGAATTGCCCTCTCCGAATCTACCAGAGTTGGCCAGTAGCCAGGTTTGTCGGGCTAAAGCTCATCTCCAGCTAAACTCTTGTCACATGATCGACACGTTTCCATGCAAGCAGCTCACAAGTGGAGCACAGTCACCGGCACAAGTGTCACCTCCTGCCCTCCACCGTCTTCCCTCGTAGTCTCCTTCATAGTCGACCGCCCTTATTCTCGTATATATTGTGCTCACTCCACCTGGTGATTCAACCCAGTGATCGAGTACACACCGCGGTGCAATTCGGAAGTTTGCGATAATCGGGAAATACAGACAAATTCGTGAAGCCAGCAAGCTCAAGTCCAAACTTGGTAGAGTGAGTGAGTGAGTTTGCTCGTCGTGTGTAGTGAAGATGGCACACTCGAAGAGTCAGAGGAACAAGGTGGGAGCTCAGGACCCGGGCCAGGGGTTCGAGGAGATCGACGAGAGGGCCCAGAACACGACCGAGAGAGCTGGTGAGGCGGTGAGCGAGGGCAAGGAGAAGGCCGGAGAGGGCGCCGACAAAGCAGCCAAAGCTGCGAAGAGCGGAGGCCGGAATGTTGCCGACGGGGCCAAGAACGCCACTGACAAGGCCGGCGACGCTGCGAACTCCGCCGGGAAGAACTTGAAGGGTGCTGCCAGCCAGGCTGCGGAAGGCTTGGGTGACGCTGCCAACAAGGCAGGGGAGAAGGCTAAGGACGTCGCCGGCAACGTTCAGGACGCCGCGAAGAAGGCCGGCGACAAGGTCAAGGACGGCGCCGGGCAAGCGAAGGAGGCCGCGGAAGACACTGCCGAGAAGACCCGAGATGGGGCGCAAAGGGCCGCCGATCGGACCTCATCAGCTGCTAAGGACGCCAAGGACTCCGTCCAGGATTCGGCCGAGGACACAGCCAACAAGGCCAAGAAGGGAGCCAAGGACGCCAAGAATGCAACGGAAGACACTGCCAACAAGGCCACCGATCGGACCTCGTCCGCTGCGAAGAATGCTAAGAATGCCACGGAAGACACCGCCAACAAGGCCGCCGATCGGACCTCGTCCGCTGCCAAGGATGCCAAGAATGCCACGGAAGACACCGCCAACAAGGCTGCCGATCGGACCTCGTCCGCTGCCAAGGATGCCAAGAATGCCACGGAAGACACCGCCAACAAGGCCGCCGATCGGACCTCGTCCGGGGCTAAGGACTTGAAGGACTCAGCCAAGGATGGCGCCAAGTCAGCAGCTGACAAGACCTCCTCGACCGCCAAGAGTGCGAAGAATTCCGCTGAAGACAGTGCAAACAAGGCAGCTGATCGTACCTCGTCAGCAGCCAAGGATGCCAAGGACAAGGCCGGAAAGGCAGGAGACAAGGCAAAGGACGCTGCGGGTGAGACTGAGAAGAATGCGAAGAAGATGCATTCAGCTGCCAAGGATGAGGCGGACTCGCACTTGAAGAAGGGTAACGAGTCTTTGAAAGACGACCTGAAGGTTGTCAAGTCAGAGGCCAACAAGGATTTTGACACAGACAGTCAGGAACACAGTGTTGGTAGCCTTGACGATCAGATCGAGAAGATCAGAGGTGCTACCAACACTGCAGGTAACGATGATTCGAAGGTATCTGGACGTGATTTTGACTCCAAATCTGCGCGTGGAGATGACAAAGCTGAGACAGGGTTTGGTGTAGCTGGAAAAGACGCAGACCTTCATGTTAATCTTGATAGCAGCAAAAGTGGACAATCAGAATTCCCTGAGGAATATGGTGCCGCAGATGATGAGTTCGTGACCAGGACATCTTACAAGGAAACCGAGGATAAATCTGAGGATAAAACCGATGATTCTGACCCAGGTACTTTGGTAGCTCTGAAGAACATGATTGCTGGTATTTAATCAAACCGGCTGGAGGAATCGCAGGTGAATCTGCGTCTGCAGTAATGTAACTGGGTTTAGAGTAGTTTGTACATGATTTTCGTCTGTACATCGGCTGTACACTAGAGCATGCCACATTCGCAGCTCAAAATGTACATCATACAGCTCAATGAGCTTTGTAAGTTGTATACTCCCATGTGAAGTAATCAAAACATTTCAATTCTTGATATGAAAAACTGGAATTCGCGCATATATTTGAATGTTTGTTCAAATCTCTTTTGATTATCACTACTACTTCAGAATATTGAGGATGAAGTTGGCATGCGTTATAATTTTTTATAACAACTTATAACGCATATACACGCACAATCCAAACTTGACTAATAAAATCACCTTTATCACAGCTTTGGTATACATTGACTGATGTAGTGAACAATCCCTCACCACCTCGTGATCTGTTCCGTTGATTATATGTGGAAATAGTTTGAAAAGACGTTGTGCACCGCAGTTTTAATCTCTTATAACATACGTCATGGCAAATTGTAAATTTATTATTTTGTGTTTTTAGGTAATATATCAAGCCCGTTTGACCCAAAGGGTCAAACGGGCTTGATATATTACCATGGCCATAACATAATTGAACTCAAAACGTTATATGAAGATTGGCTCTAATTTACCTTTTCATATCATACGCGTCGTACTAATAGGATGAGTAAGCAACATAGCAACGTGTATGATAAAACATAAAAGCGTATGTTGATTTGTAAACGCTTTAACTATATTTTCAAACTAATAACAATCATATTATCCTTCCCGAAAACTTAAGCAGCAGCCAACTTGAAACTCTCGAAACAATCACACTAACTGTTTCAAGGTTTACAAATGTGTAAAAACCTATCTCATAGTCACCTGAAATTATTGAAATCACGTACTTGTAGTTACACACATTGTCTCTGGATATGAGCGAACGAGCAGCCACTGCCACGAGCGTGGTCGACCAAAAGTTCAGTATCCGCCCACGTTCTGCAATACAATGGCTGCTGCAATACAATGCGGTTGATCGCATCTTACATCCGCGCAAATCCGCTGCAAAAATACATTCTCATAACGAGTCCGTGGTTCCACGATCTGCACACTGGAGACTCTAATGCTCAATCTGAGGATCATTCACCATCTCTCCTTCCACGTATCCAAGCTTAGGAAATCAACAAGTTTAAAAAATAAACTCAACAGACGGTTGTATAAAAGGATTTAGCTATAATTTGTCAAATTCTAATCGAATGTTACACAAAAGCACACAATGTTATTGACGGATCAGAAAGCCATCGCAAGCCAGCTCATTTCAATTAGACTTTGGAAATCTTTATAGTAAAGTCAATTGGAGGATCATGTTCTGACAGTAAAAATAGGCGCTGTCTGATCATGGTCCCAAGTTTTCGATGTATTGCAATCTGATAGATCAAGAATGACATTGCAGTGAATTGTCCTGCAGCTTTGTCTGACCAAGTGGGACTGATATTTAAGCGATCAACAGCACGTAACAAACCTTAAGAAGTAATTCACAGATATGTACAACAGAAGCATGAATGATGTCGAAATCAAAGGGTCAACTCTCTCTCTCTAGCTAGCCTTCTAATCTTAGAGTCTCGGGCTTCCCCTGCAATCTAAAAGGTTCTTGTTGCTCCGAGTTGCCCAATCTTTCATGCCGACTCGTCATGACAATTTGGTCGAAATATTCAATAAGCTGCTCCATGACGACTTCCCGATCCTTCTCGGGATTGAAGACATCCGACACGGCGTGTCGATTGCCCACGGAGTTCTTCCAATCTTCGCCATGCAAATGGAGAAACTCCTGAATGAATCTGTCGTACTCGTCTTTCCCGCGACGAAGGTTCCACTCGCGAGGGTCGTACTTAGCCTTGACGTACAAGATCGAGCCCACGACCATAACTCCCAACGACACCATGGCCAGCATGGAATGGTACGCATCGTTGCGCGAAGCGTAGAGCCAGCCCACGGCGGCAGCGGCCAGCGCCACGGGCGTGATGGACATGGACAGCGACTGCGAGATGGAGGTCATGACGGACGTGGTGAGGACGCGCGTGGCCACGGGGACGGCCGCCTTCGCTGCGGCGGCCGCGAACGGGCTGGCGCCCGCGGCCCCCATGGTCGCGATCTTCTCCACGAGTAGATTCAGCTGCCGGCTGAACACCTCCTCGGACGCAATGTTGCTGCGCAGCGACCGTTTGAACGACGGCGGCACGCCCCAGATGCGGCACAGCGCGCGACACAGACCCACCAGCAGCCCCCCGACGATGGTCTGGTGCGGACCCGGGATCAGGCCCGCGGGCGAGCAGAGGATGGCGGCCTCCTTGTACCCAACGATCTCGCGCGCCGACAGGCGAATCTTCTCGTGAAAGTCCACGGCCTGCGCGGCCGCCCAGGCGGATTTGAGCTCCTCGCTCGTCAGATGAGCCTGAATCCGGGCGCTGACTTTAGCCAGCGCCTCCGTGTCCGAGAAGTCCACCGAGATCAGCTGCTCCAGGACCTTGCGCTTGTCAGGCACGCGCTCCAGCAGCTCGCCAACGTGCGCCTCGATGTTCCGCGCGAACGCCTCGTCCTGCCCCTCGGCGCGCGTCACTATCAGCAGAATCGGCACCGTCTCATGGTTCCCCACCTCCTCCAGCACGGGCGCGTTGTCGCGCAGGCGCTCGTCCTGCGCCGAGGCAACGTACAGCACCAGGTGCACATGCTCGGCGAAATCCGACCGCTGCTGCCGGTTGGTCAGAAACTTGCGCAGGTCCCCAAGCCCCCCGTCGCTGTCCGCGCCCCCTCCGTGCGCGGCCAGCTTCAAGAACTTCTTCACCGTGTCGAATTTGGGCTCAACGGGCGCGGGGGCTGGCGCGTCCGCGGCCCCGCTGGCGCCCTCGGTGGCGCGCCGTTTCAAGAACCGCTTGACCAGCCCCAGGGCGTTCTCGGGCGCCTTGTCCTCGTCCGCGGCGCTGAGCGCGACGTCGCACTCGTGGATCTTGAGCGGCAGCGTCGGATGGCTCCACTCCTTGTTAACGTCCTGCCTCGAGGCCGCGCCTCCGCCCGATCGGCTGGCGCCGTCGGGCCCTTTGCCCGGCGCCAGGCCCAGAATCTTGCGGATCAGCGTGGACTTGCCGGCGCCGGGCCTGCCGATAACGAGAATTCTCAGAGTCTTGAACACGTTGCCTGCCGCCAGATCCTTGTAGCGGGCCCTCATGTCCGTCCCCATGGCGCCCCCAGTCAGTCAGACGGACGTTCGGTCAGTCTGTCGATCCCTCGCTGCCTCGCGCCCTCGCCCCCCTCGGCTAGGCTGCGAAATGATGTCCAATTCGAGCTATGCCGATGCGACGCTGGTCCCTACAATTCCTCTGCCAGATCGCCTGGGCGTTTCCTTATCCCCTTCGATCCTCCTGATGGGGAGCCAATTCTGACAACCCCACGTGACGTCACCCGCTGGCCAGCTTTTAATTTAGATCGCTCACCAGAATTCGCAACCCGTGGACTACAAGCGCCCTCCGATTCCCTGTTCGTTCCCTTGGCCGCCTCCGACTGGATCCGCTTCAGGTGCAGTATGGCGATTCCTCCGATCTGAATTACTGCTACCGATCTTCCGTTCGATCGTCTATTCCTTCGTCGGACAGGAAAGATCTTGCCGATAGTCGAAACGATGGTCCGTGTCCGTGTCGTCGTCGTCGTCGGGAGGAGGCCGTTCTCTTCTGGCCAAGCGGAGCACGCTGGCCCTCGAGCCGCAGCGATGTCAATTTGGGTGTGGATCCCCGAAGTCCCACCGGTGAAACGAAGCCACGAGCGCCCGACCTTCTTTGGACACCCACGACACTGCAGCAGCAGCAGCAGGAGGAGGAAGAAGAGCAGCGAAAGGGGATGATGATGATGATGATGATGATGATGATCGTCGTAGGCCCAGAGGCGGAATGCCACTTCGTCTCCAGACACTGCATCGGCATCCATAGACGCTTTCCAGGTCTTCATGCCATTTCATCCGTCTTCCTCGCGCTCCCTTCTTCCGCGCTTGAGCTTGTGACAACTTGCACCTCCACAGGCCGCCCCGGCCAGCCTGGTGAGGAGGTGTCATCCCGCGAGCCCCTTTGTCTTGTGGAAAAGTGCTGCTGCTCATGCTCTTCTCCATTGTTCGTATCCTCCTCCTCCTCCTCCTCCTCCCGCTCCCCCTCCTGCTGCTACTCTCGCTCCTACAAGCGCTCCTCCCCTATTGCTTCGATCTCCGCAGCTCCCACGACGGGCCCACAACCACAATTCTACCACCACATACTCTACCTCTCTCTCACACACTCTTTCACTCGTCCACTTCCTCACTCCTCCTCCTCTCCCTCTCCACTCCTGCGAGCTCGATTGGCCATGGCACTCCCCTCGGGTGGCAATGCAATTCGCATTACCATGCTTCCCCTGCGAACCTTTGCCTTCCTGGCCTCGTTATATTTCGGTCCTCCTCTGTTCTCACTGCCCGTCCGCCCTGAGGGGATGTATCGCCATGACCGGTGAGCCACGCAGAAAGACAGCGCCGGATCCGGCTCTGGCCTTCCCGATTCCTCCACGGAGGCCACGCAGGTTCGATCCTCGGTGGCCTTCAGAGAGAGGGTGTGTTCCAAAAGCCGTAGGCGGCGAGCGGCATTCCGTCTTGGTAATTCCATATTAATTCTAATTAATCCAGAATCTCCCATTTTTTAGAGTATTCCAGCTAAAAGCATACATGTATCTGGTAACCAAGTATGGAAAGGTATGTGTATCTTGTAACCAAGTATGGAAAGGTATCATTGGTAATGTAACTGCATAAGCTATTAAAAAACTTGAAAATACATAATTATCTCTAATTCCAAAGAATATTTATTTATTTCTGTATGGCCTGAAGCATGCTTATCTCCATTTGCGTTTGTCCGAGCCTTTGCGGCAGGTTGGTGGATGTTGGTTCACGTATATTTGAACTCCAGGCAGGCAGTGAGTGCATGGTATACATCGTTGCTCTAGTTGGGAGCTTCTGAGTAGATATGAGTGCAGTAGCAGCAGCAGCAGCAGCTGCTGCTTTGGAAGGACTCTCTACTGGTGGCCGCGATCCAGTGCAAGTCTGGTGTAGCTGAGTTGCTGTGCCGTAGCCTGATAATTCAAGAATGTGGAGATTCCCGCATCACTCCCTTTATTTCTGGTACAACTTGGGTGAGATTTCCTCCGATCCGAATGTTCGAATCGCCATTACTTGAGGGATTCGATCCTGTTTCTTGGTTTGTGCACTTTACGTTTTTTCCACTTCCAAATTTTTGTAAGATTGCTCAGAGAAATCATAGTGACTTGAAATGAATGATGCAATAAAGAAGTAAACAGAATTTAATCTGAAATCTAAATGTTTATTTTTTTATTAGTCTTTTTTTATACAGAATTTTAAGTTTGATAGTTAATATATATTTTCATCTAAGCATCAATCAAATATTTGAAAATACTTTACATATTAAAATATGCTGCTACATAGAAAAAAAAATTTTAATTATCATAGTTGTAGTTGTATTGAATAGTGCTAAGAATTTTAAGCATTAAAATTCTCTGTTATTTGAAAAATAAATTCACTATTGTGAACACAAAGAAGTAGAGAATTCAACATTTTCAAAAAACTTGATAATAATAATTGTGAGAAAATTTGGTTAACATTTTCATCAATCAAGCAATCAATTTCCATATTGCTTTTTTCGTAATAGAAAATTTTTTATACATATTTCTTCAGGTTGATCAGCATTATCGGTTATTTTTGTAAAATGATATATTACCCAAGAGTCGTTCAATCGGCTAGAAGTGTACAAACACGAGAAAAAACATTAAATTTGTTAAATAAATTTAGTAAACTTTCAGAGAACTATTTTAGAAGAACTATTTAAAAAATCCTAATCAGTTACTAGTGACTATTAGTAATTTAAATGCATCGAGCATGTAACGACATGCTTACGCATGAAGACACAAAACAAAACCATTTTGATAAAGAATACACATATCTAAATCAAGAAATTATTCAACAAAATAGAAGAATAATACAAATGGAAATTTACAGTGAATACCACAGATAGATGTTGTCAAGGCCCACATTCATTGCTTCTTCATTTGCTTTGTGAGCCGTAATGGATTTCGCGTCAATTCAAAACACTAATTACTTTTCAATATGGTCTGCTTTAGATTTATTAATTAGCTTTAGTCACTTTTAATATAAAAGCAGCATTACAAGAATTGTCTTATGAAAAAATGACCATTGAAATTTTACGTTAGATATCATGAAGTAGTTGTCATGTAGTTACGAGTCGGCTCACGAAGTTCAGACACTTACTATATTTAGCCGTAAAGTTAGGGTTCCGGTCACGAGGGGTATACAGTCGGGGACGGCTCGAAGAACGTCAGTTCTTCGAGTCGAGCCTGGAAGCGTTGGGAGCGTAGAGTGACTTTCCCCTTTGCGTCGACCTGGATTCTCCGAGTGTGGAGTGGGTTGGGCTCGACTCATGTTTGTGACAGTGACGGTTTGTTGCCAGTAGGGTAATTGACCGACGGGAATTCCAGTGGGGAATTTCCCGTATATTTCACTCGAAGAACTGCTCATCCATTACCCAGGGTGGTGTGGGTACCAGTGGAGCTGCGAGTATCGGCATCAGTGGAGGTGCGAGTAGTAGCATCAGCGAGGGTACCAGTGGAGCAGTTGGCGCAACTGGTACTAGTACCAGCAGCGGTACTGTTAGCATTGCCGGTGGCAGCACGAGGGGAGATGCTGGTGGCGTACCTTCGTTTAGCCCCATTCCTGAGTTCTTCCAGAGATTGAGGAAGAATTATCAAGGGGTGAAAACGGAGAAGTTGAGGAGCCTCCAGGAGTTTGAGCGGAAGACTGGTGAGAGTCTTCGTGAGGCATACACTCGTATGCGACGGCTCATCTCAGTTACTCACGGTGTGACTGAGGCACAGGCTGTCCAGTACTGGTATCGGATCCTTGACAGAGAGTTGCGGAGGAGAGTGCGTGATGCTACTCTCATGAGCGACTCATCACCCACATTAACCCATGTGTTTGCTCTTTCTGAGAAGATTGAGCTTAACATGGTGGAGGAGAGGGTGATGACGTCTACATTTGCGAGGGACACGACCACTACCTCGCGTATCCCACATAGCCCAGCACAGTCTCGCCCCATAAGTGGGAGTCGTGGAGGTCATACACGACATCCTTCAGGTCACAGAGAGCCTAGTGCGCGGCCACCACTGCCTTCATTTTCGGGTCAGCCACAGGGACCGTCATGTTGGACATGCGGAGGTAGCCATATGAGGAAGGATTGTCCCCAGGAGCGAGAGGGACAAACTCCACAGGCTAGGCCACAGCCGGCACAGGTGACCTGTGATCATTGTCATCGACCGGGTCACCCTCGAGAGCGTTGCTTTGACCTTCATCCTGAGTTGAGATCTGGAGGTAGAGGTCGTGGAGGTGATGCTCCGCGAGGTCGAGGTGGTCGAGGTGGTAGAGGTGGTAGAGGTACCGGGGCCATTGAGCGTACCGCAGCGAGTGCTACTTCTGCCACAGAGAGCGCTATGGCTGCTCGGATTGAGCAGTTGGAGCAGAGGCTTGCTGCTATGGCCGGTCTGGGGGCGAGCACTTCCACATCTTACGAGGGAGAGGATTTCTCCTATTTGGCCAGTGCAGCACAGGTTGAGGCATCAGTTGCAGTGACCAGAGGTGGTGCTCGCACTTCAGAGCCACGTGGTGCGACTGTGGAGTTGGACCCTCAGAGGGGTGAGGGTGGACGTCAGTCTAGACTTCCCCAGTCCTTTTTGTTGTCAGAGGTGGGTAGCAGTTCATCTATGAGACCTGCACCGCCTACTGACACTAGAGTGAGAACTGAGGTTCTTACATCATATGTTGTGGGCGCAGACGTGCCATCTAGTGCAGTGATGCGGATGGCCACTTCAGTCTTGCGATCTCCATTGTTCTCAGCCACGGAGTTGATAGACTCTGGTATTGATTTGGCTCGAGTATTTCGGGTAGCTGCCACGTCGTGTGAGCGTGGGAGAGTCGCTGCTACTAGTGCCGAGATAAGTGAGGATACAGTTGAGGACCCATCCTCAACGTGTACATTGTTCGAGGAGACGACTTGGCAGGCCGCAGCGGCGAGGATGGAGTCCTTACCAGCTCGCCCAGCCATTGATCGCGAGAGTATTGTCCCTGGTGTATGTATGGTGGACAACCGAAGTGGTCTATTTCGGTTAGTGAGTTCTACTGGACAGGTGTATGTCCCAGCCAGAGTTTTGTTGGATTCTGGTGCACAGCCCTTGATGTTGGGCAAGGCTGCATGCATTAGTTTGGGCATTCGGAGGTCAGAGTTGGAACCTTGCCCATTCCAGATCCAGACATCCCTTGGTGGCGCCAGCAACAGGTCTTACTTTATGACCAAGGAGAGCATAGCGGTGCAGTTGAGGCATGATCACCCTCATGATAGCTCGCAGTTTGGAGTTCGTGCTGTGGTTACATCAGCAGAGTCATATGATGTGCTTGTTGGTGGAGTGGTGTTATACCCGATGGGCTTTCGGATGGACTATTGGACGGAGACTGCCGCATATCGTCCTGGTTGGCAGTCAGGAGATGGACGTCTGAGCGAGCTGCCAGTGAGATTTATTTCTCGGGATCGACCTCTTGGATCTTCATCAGCGGTCTTGGCATCTGTTGCGGGTTTTAGCGGAGTGCTTACCTGGCCCGGTGAGTTGTTGGCGGGGAACATGTCTGCAGACGATACCTCACTCTACGAGGATGTGGAGGAGGTTGTGAGTTTCCCAGCGGCGGTGACTTCACCCTTAGATGTTCCACTGTGGAGTTCGTGCCAGGCACTACAGTTGGAAGCTGATAGGTTGGTAAAAAAGGCTTGGAGTGAAGCCTCGTTACCAGCAGAGCCAGAGAGAACTTCAGATGATCGGCTAGTTAGTGGTTCTAGCGCATTGTCTCCATTGGTTACTACACCTATTGCATGGGAGTATTCCTCAGAGGGCGTTTGTTTGCTGGATCTTTTTGGTGGAATCAGCACAGGTTTGGCTGCAGTGTTGCAGTCAGGTATTCTCGTACGGAGATACTTATATGTGGAGAAGGACGAGACTGCACGTCGAGTCTCTTCACGACATGTTGCACAGTTGATGCGGCGTTTTCCTTCGTTGTTGCCGCGATCAGCTGTCCGAGGATTCCAGAAGGCGTTGCCTTCAGACATTTCGTTGCTGGGGGCGCCAGACCTTGACCGCGTTGGCCATATTGATATGGTGATTGCGCGCTGGCCATGTCAGGGACACACACGCGCTGGACATGGGACAGGGTTGCATGATCCCAGATCTCGGATGTTTTGGGAGATGATGCGAGTGTTACGTCATCTCCAAGTGCAGCAGACACGTTCTCCAGCATACATT